ACACAAAACGCATACGAGATGGATGAACGTTACTTGACTACACAAATGAGAAAAAAATATCTATTTATATATATATTATATATATATAAAAAGAAAAAGAAATAAAAAATGCGCAAACCAAGCAGGGAAATATTTCTTTTCATCTAATAAAATAATATACACGCACAGCAGATTAAACGTAAAATATATTTTAGCTCACCTATGGAAGGGTAGCCGCTGTGGCCACCTACCTCTAAAAAACTACTCGCCCTCAATTTGAGCTAGGCAAATACCTTTTTCTTGTACGTTAATTAGGCTTTTAAGTTTACGAAAAGTTATTAGTGATAGTATTAACTATCATTAATGCGGGTTGGTGTAATAGAAACACATTTGGCTCATGATCGAAAGATTTAGGTGCAAATCCTAAATCCGCTTTTCAATTTATAAAAAATATATAATAAGGACTATAAGATATATATATTGGAAAGTTTAAATATAAAATGTTTAATTTAGGTCGGCGCCCTCCTATGGGGGTGATGACCGTCCCCCCTTTAGGGGGTGATGACCGTCCCCCTCTGGGGACGGTCATCACCCTAGAGGGGAACGGTTATCATATTAAAATATTTTATTTATATGGGTTTACCTAAAAGAGGCTATAGCTTAATTGGTAAAGCATACTGCTCATGACAGTACCAATAAGTGTTCAAGTCACTTTAGCCTTAATACGAGTGCTGGAATAGGTAAACTGCTTCTGGCCTTGCTTAACTAAAAATTAGCCTGAATGCTGAAATTGGTAGACAGAACTCTCTTAAGTTGGGTTGAGCAAACCTCGTGAGCGTTCAAGCCGCTCTTCAGGTATATGGTAAACAAACATATTTAAAATTAATTCCCCAGGCCAGGGCTAGCCCTGGCCTAGGAGTTCGGGTAGTTAGCTTTTTGACCATCACGCATGCCTGCCTTCGCTCCAGACCCTAGGGTCTGGAGCGAAGGAGGAGGGAGGTATGAAGGGTCCCCTGCGGCAAGCTACGCTTCGCTCGTCCCTGAGGATTTTTAATTTTTTTATTTTTTTCTTTTTCTTTTTATATATATGAGATATCGATCATGATAAGGGGTTCTCCGTAGGGGGTGGCTCGGAGCCTCCCTCGCCC